CCATCCGCCCAGAAGCCAATGAGTCAGACGCACGCAACGCGTGCGTAACGTAGCAGTAATATATGAGCCGTTTAAAAATATGCCTCTGTCGCAATTTTTCGTACGCGAAATTCTGGAAAGAATAATGAAACATCGGAGTACCGTCAGCGGTGGAGATAAATATCGATGCCAATGGTCGCGTGTGTCCATTAACACTAAAAGACGGGTCACAATGACCCATTCCTGATGTCTTCTTGTTGCAATTATTAAAAAGATAACAGATGTTCTGTGAGAAATTATTAAAGAAATTGATTTAGCGATATGCAAACTGAATTGTAATTAAAGTCTCAATAGATGCAATCTTGGAGTTTCCATAAAGGAATTTCCAACTAATACACAAAATAGTTCTCGTCAATAGTTCTCTGATCGATAAGATAAAAATGACCGATTTAAAGACCGTATATATGTACATTCTCATCGGTGGATCAAATCGAATGGGTAAATGCAATAAAAACGAAATATGGTACCACGATGTCACAGAGAAAAAAGAAAAATAGAAACGGGAAATTATGTCTCATTGTGTAAGCTGCCGGGAACTTGCTTATCGGTTATAAGCGGCGCTCGAGAACTACGGGGAAAAGTAAAAATAAAAATATTAGAAAAGTTACAAGGAACTGTGGCGTAACGATGACAGAAGACGAGCGATGGATGCGTGATTTATAGGTGTCTGTAAAATCCTCGCGTGGGTAGACGATGAAAAAAGGGATCACCAATGAAGTTGAAATAATTAATCGACGTTATATATAATGAATGAAGATACTAGAGACAGTCCTGGGACAGATTCCGAAATAATTTCGAAGGATAGAATCTCGTTGTGACCGAACGCGGAAACACGTGATTTACAAGTAGCGGAGACACGTGTACGCGAGCGCGCACGTTTAAAAACAGAAGCAACGTTTAACGAGTTGAAAACAGGATCTGTGCAAAAATACGTGTTTCGTACGATAACAAACCGTCGTGCTCGATGAATACGTGGAAACCGTTCAATACAAAACGTTTCCCCATCGTTTAAAACGTTCGTAACGATTAAAAATATCGACTTCTAATGCTCGGTAATTTTGAAAGTTAAATAACTTTAAAATTGCGAATGCGAAGGTAATTTAAAATGATTTCAGATCAAGTGAAGTCTAGTCTTAATATATGGAATGATATTCATTTTGAAAGTTAAATAATTTTTCAATTTCAAACGCGAAGATAATTTAAATGCTGTAAGTGCTTTCAATTCAGGTGAAGTCTAGTCTTAATATTTATAACGATATTCATTTGAAATCCAAATGACAATTATCACTGGTTTTATATTCATGTTTATGGAGAGAGTTTTTGCAGTCTATTATGCTTCACTAACGTGTAACGATTTCATTGCAACCTTATGTCGATTCATATCATTGTAAGTCCATTTTCGTAAATCCAAATTGACAATTAACCAGTCAATTTTTAAGTGAGAGAGAATTTCGTTGGCGGCCAGTAACATTTTGTACATTTGCAGAAAGAGGAGATGAACTATGAATATTGCTAGTATATGACCATTCCAAAAAGAAATATATACATTTATAAAGAAATTGATAATTGTTATGATTAATAACGTAGAAATGGCTTTAATCTACAACAAAGTCTAAACAGGTGTTTTTACCCGACCGGTCGGTTAAGTGTTAAGATGAAAGTATTGTTAAACGTTATGATAAGTGAGCAGTAAAAAAGAAAACAGAAAAAACCCCGAGCCACTAAAATAGCTCAAGTTTCACTTTCTTCGAGGAAAGCGAGAAAAGAATGTCAGTGGTATTATTGATTAGAAGGGTGAAATAGAAGACCCCCAATCCTCCGTTTAACGCATATTAGGAGCAGACATCGTTTAACTAGATCCACTTACATTATTACGGTTATCATGTGTACGTTACCACTTTGCATTTATATAGTTCACTGGATAATTTTAAAAGCCAGTAGAATATTTTTAAAAAAACACCGATGATAAACCGAGGCGAGCGGTTCATTAAAGCGGGAAACGTATGTAAAGTAACGCATCAATTGATGAAACGCTTTACGTAACTTAATTTATCTACTAGATAGATTCTTACAATGGGGGTTCCCGAGAACTGATTAATGAATTCGCTGGAACTAACATATATACTTTGGAAAACCACTTCTGTCGTTCGGACTGGAGTTTAATTTGTTACTGTTCTCGAATTAAGGGTAACTTTGACGAAAGTTACAAGAATACGCTTTCAATTAACGCTAGAACTACCAGATGGATCAAAATGACCCATTCATATCTTAATAAATGCAGTCTTATAGTTTTTATAAAAAGATTTTAAAAAGTCAACTTAACTGCTCGGTTAATTGTCATGGTGATTTATACAGATACACGAGGTATACAGAGTATTCCCGTAAATGAACCAACATTTTCCTCAAAAATTGTAAATATTAGAAAACAATAACAAAGAAAACGGTATTAACTCTACGATACTGTAGATAAATTGTTTATGTTTTCAACTTTTTTCGAACAATGAGAACAACTTTGAACTTTTTAATATACTAAGATATTCGGGGTCAAATAAGACCGGGAACAAACAAAATAATTTAAGAGTTTCATAAGTGATTCTTAGATTATTTCCATTTCTTGGAAACGGTAGAAATCTGAAAAATTTGTTTCCATTATTATAAAGTCTATTAGTAACGTTTAAACTTTTTTATATAATAATTTGTTTATATTCTTATGAATCCTATAAAAATGCATTGAAACTTTTTCATTTAAAAATTTGCTTACTTTATTGTTAAGTCTATAAGAAACATTGAAACTTTGTCCTTTAACAATTCGCTTATATTATTATAAAGCCTATAAAGAAACAATGAAACTTGTTATTGTAAAATGTATAAAGAGCATTGCAATATTTTCCTTTAATTTTCTTTTCAAATATCTACGGTTTATGAAAAGAACGTTGGTACATTTCACCGCGAACGCCCTATATAATTAAGCCCATGCACTCGAGAGGTGACTCTTAGTCACCACTTGATTTGATACAGCAAAACTATGAAGTTGAATATTTAATATTTTCATTTAAACTTTGTACTGCTATGTGAAATATTTAAATAAAATAACTTCGTCGGTTAAGTTATCTGTGAATTAGCGTTAAATTAGTTTTAACCCCTTAACTTGCACGCTCGAGTTAATTCGAGCGCGCTGAACAGGCCAAACTGTGAAAATAACAATGTGAAAGCAAAGAAAAAAAATCGTTTTATTGATATTTATCATTTACATGGGATTGTAAGCTATAACACTTATTTATTCAAGAATAAAATATAGCCTTTCTCCATGAAAGAAAAGCACAGTATATCAAACTTGATTTTTTTTGGCCTGTTTTTTTTAAAAAAAACTGTGCGTTAAGGGGTTAAACAATGCCGTTTATATCTCGTCGGAAAATGTTGAATATTTCCAGTGAAAAACCTTCGAATGCAAAGGGTTAATATAAACGTCGTTTTGCCTAGAAATATATATTTTCCGTAGCGAACCGTTGGAGGTGAAGAAGAGAAGGACCAAGACGAGTGACAAAGCAGTGGGAAGATAATTACGGACACGTCATTTCCGACGAATTTCGGCCTCCTTTATGTCACAGACGTGTAATTAAACGTCCCCCATCGTTACTTTAGATATGTAGAAAAGCGGAACAATTAGAACGATTAACCCGGAGCTGTCTAAACACTGCCGCACTCGAATTTAGAACTATGAAGAAAGTAACAGGATGTCGAGATTGCCTGAAAAGTTTACATCGGGTAATGTTGGATATTTTCGTCAGTGCACAGTCGTAATTCCGAAAGCTGTCTGCTATGCGAATTTGCTTGAAAGAACGGAAGCCGTGCACGGAACGCGATATCGTCGGGATTAAAAGTAAATTGTTATTCGATTTAAAAATACTGAGAAACACCATAGAAAATAACGGAAAATTTCGAAATATGTATGCATTTTTTCGACAAATAAAAATGTCGATTTGTCATTCACTATTCAACGAGAATAGAAAATAAATAACATCAAAATAAATCGAATAAAACATTGAGAACTTTAAATACGGATCGGAAATATATTTTTTAAGGTACTTTCCGCGATACATTGAAAATTAATTAATTGACCGTGGTAAATAATAAATATAATTACGATAAAAACAAAAAATATTATGTATATTATGGTCACAATTTAATTTGTAACGTGTTAACGATGATCGGTATTGAAATAATATTTATATAGTTAATATTATATATTGACTGTCTATTTATATCTACATTCATCGAAGATTAAATCATTATTGCTAAATTTGTACTTTATTTCAATGAAAAATAAATTAATATTAATTTATTTATTAATTCATCACTTTTAAACACACAAAAATGTATATGCACTTCTTGACATAATTAACACGATTTATATTAGAGAGATACTATTATTATAAATTAAATGATCGTTAAACATTATTATTATATACAGTGTACATCGCATCTGAGTAAAGATAAAATAAATCTCAAGTCTACAATGCGGTTACAATAATAGTATTGCAGCATCGCACGATGTCGACGATGCATTTGCAAAAATATTCAAGCACAATATTCAACGAGCAGTAATGTATTTTACTATCGCGAGACATAATGCGCTCGAATGACAACTCCTAACCGTCGATGACCAGAACGTAAACAAATCCGAACACGAGGAAACAAATCCGTGCACCAGAAACAACTTTAACCTATCCGACCGTGTCTTTTCCCGGAAGAAAATTTTCCGTCGGCGTACCATTTTATCATAAAATGAAACGTCGATTTAAATCTTCCCGTGAAAATTAACAGTATTCCATATCAAATAAAAATAAAACTGATACATTCGAATTATCACCGGTAATAAACAACTTTTAAAAAGTGAACCTAACCTACAAAAAACGAGATTGAATTGTAACGCCAGAAGCCTAAGTTATTTTACCACTTACCTGCATGCTGTCAGCTGAAACAATTTCACCAGAAAATCTTTTCGCCAATTCGATGCTTAGACGGGATTTTCCACATCCCGTGGAACCCAAAATTGCTAAAACAGGCACACACGACATATCGATGTTTCCGTAATTGTTCCTCCGTATACGGGACTGCGCATGCGCGCACCTGTTCCCCATGAGCTTCTCGTTCCGTCCATTTAACCACGTGGTACCAACAGGCGGTCGATTTCGAACGGATATTTTTTGTATGCTGCGAAAAATTTGTGAGCTCGCTTATGCAAGGATTAAAGTGACCTATAAACATAACGTGAATATTGTATTTCAACGAAAAATTGAAAATTATACGGTTTACGAAAAAGCAGTTTCGTAACTATTTACATCAAGTTGAAAATATTATTGTTTATTTTTTACATTTTATTAAATGCAAAAAAAATAAGAAACTTATTACGGATCTGAAAATTTTATTCACTTAAGACAAATTTAATAAAGTAGAATTTAATAAATTAGAAGCTTCTAAATGTTCAATACAAACTGTAGAAATAAATAACGGAATAAAGGAAAAACAATATTACATGTTCTTTTTTAGACCTTCTTTTTGTCTTTCCGGCGTGTAATGAAGCAGCTATTATAAATCATTGTTAAACGTGGTATGCATTGAACACGAATGAATACATATTACGCAATGCATATATGAGAAAAAGAATAACGATTTGTTTTAAATACATGGCGCCGACGAAATCGCAAAAAATCTACAGTGAGTATTACTATCGTTATATAACGCGATGTTGCAACATATTACAATGTTGAATCCTCCTTTACAATGTTAAACGCAATTCGCGTCTACATTAATGTGTAGTATCAACAGTTGCATGTATGTACGAAGTCGTATTTTGCAGCGCTGCAAAATCAGCTGATTAATTCAGCTTAAGACGTAGATTTCAGAGTTCCCTGTCACGGAGAATCATGCAACACTCACGGGACGCATCCTTGATAATTACAAGTATTCTATATTTCAATGATATTTTTCAATGAAACGTTATTGACATTGCACAGTCATTAACAGATAAAGTAAAGAACATTTACACGTTGAAAATTTAGTTCATGTTTTCTTCGTTGTAAAATAACGTTGCATTTTTTATGAAATATCAAAAGCTTATTTTCTTCTCCAAATTGCATACAGCGAAAATAAAATTAAAATACTTCGAGGTACGATTAAAAACATGTTAATCGTTAATACCATGTAATTATTTTTGCTTTTATCTTTAAATGTAGAAAATTATAAATTTGTTTACCCAATTATTTTCTAAACGTTAAATAAGTAATTATTTAATATGTTTGAGAACATTTAAGAACGTGAACGAAATTCTCGTATCATTTTTCTAATCAGGTCATAATGATATATCACATGAAGTGTTCTGTTACAGCTGTTCCTTATCTGAGGTTTAGCGAATCTAATTAAATATGTACTAAGAATTCACACCCCCACTCTCTTTAAACACAGAAGCCGTCGACACATGTATTGTTCTATATAATATATTGTAGAATACTTCGTAGATAAAACATCTATAGACTATTCAAATTTGTACAGCTGGTTGATATGTTAGATATACTGTCTTGTACTGACATATCTGTAATTACAACAAGTAGTTAAGTACAAAGACACTTTCACATTTATATTATTAAAATTCCTAAGGTACATTTGACATCTCCATCAACAAACCGAAAATAAACTATTAAATAAATTATAAAAAAATTTTTTAAATTAGTTAATATTACTCTTTAATGATAATCAAGTAGGTTAAGTAATAAAGACAATTTAATATAATTCTTATATTAATATTATTATTACAATGTTAATAAATTAATATCAGCCTTTTTATTTTCAAAATTTATAGTAGACTAATCTGTCATTCAAAATTTGACATTGGACTTTCAAATTTAAACAGTTCGTTCATCGAATTGAAATACTTGCATAATATTGTACAACTTCTAACTCGAGTACATTGCTTTATCAATATAAAACTAATAAACGATTCGCCTGTGTCGTTCAGGTTTATCTACTCTATTTACGCAGTCGATGTTAACTATTCTAATCTGACTAGAATACATAATGTAGATTTAAAAAAACAAGTCTTGCCCCTATGAATTTACATATAAAATTTGATAAAGGCAATGGAATATTTATATTTGATCAACTATATTCATATAAAATTAAAACCTTTCCATGAATATTATATAGTCATATTAAATGTACAACAAGAAAAAAGTCACTTCGCAAAATCGTGTTACGCGGTTGGTACTTTTATCGCTAAAGACATCCACTTATCACATCCACGATTTGACTACCTTGCATGATCGTGTGTACATCCTAAAATTTATTCGCATGTAAGTAATTGTTATCGCATTTCTCCTACCATCGTTTGCTCAAACTTTATAACCCCGGTAATCGTTATCGAATTCATTTCTCATGTCAGACATTATTTTAATTGCATAACGATTCGATGGTTTTTGCTCATTAAATGACCGTCCCAGTGATACAGTTGATTGAGACTTGAAATTTCTCACCCCTACCCCCTTATCAACGAGGGAAACAGAAGGAACATCCATTTCTTTTTCGTCCTCTTAAATGCTAATAATATAATACGATTACATTACATAAGGATTTCGTTTTATCTAGTTAAATCACATCTACCGGCACGAATTCAGGTAAGAGGTTTAACAACCGAAATATTCGGGATTTCCTATGACGGAAAAAAAATAGAAGGAAACCACCGATATGGACCGAGAGATACGTTACAGCATTATCAATTCGACCATTATTTGCCACGGTTCTTTTAATAATTGCATCCTGGTTTATAGATTAAAGCACGGTAACCCAGACCTTTGCCGAGATATACCAAGAAAATGTTGAAACCACATCTTGTGCTGAATGACTCTGTTATGAATTTCATTATGTATGAAACCACTTCGAAACCACAATTCAAAACTTTTATTACACTATTTACATTTATAAAAATATGAATATATTAAAAATAAATAAATTTTAAGAAATTCAATGAATTATAAAACTAAATAATCAATTAATCCAAAATGTATTAAATTTAAAACAAAATTAAATTCTCTATGTTGAGTATGACTCACAACTAGACGATAAAGCAGCAATTGAAATTATATGAATTACATGTATGTCTAATAATACATCAATAAATATTGCAAACATCAACCTAAAGCGCAACAGAGGGCTTTCGAACAAAACACACGGAGCATAGTTTAATAAATATTAATTGTGAACAAAAAAATTGTGAAAAAGTGGGATACTGAAAAGTCTTAATAACACGGTAACTAGGACATCGAAACGCGTACAAGTATTATTTTATTCGCGCACGTTCGAAACTGAATCGAACCGGAACCCGAAATAGATAGGAGTGGAACATCTCTATTACAACTACATACTTCGTTCCACCAATGAAACAGACGAGAGGGAAGAGATTTCTTTAGAGTCACTTAAATCTAAATCAGCGTTACGTAGGATAACTTCGGTATGGTTCGATAGTCTTTAATCTGTCGGGCCTAGATTTAACCTCTTTCCCAATTACGTAATGACCGGCTCCATTCCGTTTCTCTGGCGAAACTCTCCCCAAGCGTTTTGGCTTTTGGGAACTGGTATGTATTCCGTGAGAAGTTTTCTTCTATCTCAAGATGACGGAACGCCTCGTAGGATTTACGCCAGCCGACCCGGTGCGCGGTGTTTGCTTCCACGAGTAGATTGTAAAGAATCGTCTGTTTAAAGTGCTTTAGATTATGATCCTATATTTTTTCGCGCAGGCTGAAATTTAGTTTCGTAGACTTCAAATAAACAAATCTATTTATGGTAACCGCAAAGCAAATACCCCGCGCTGCGATCACCGATAGGCGCTGCTGGTTGTTGAACCATGGTCTAGGAATTGTTGAACATTTTTCACATTAAGACTACGTCACCTGAATTTGGGTGACACGATTTTTTATGCAGATTTGAAAATGACTTTCCTTGGTGACGCGTCAAACGAACCGATTTTTCTAAATTGTATGAGATACCGGAACGACAATGAAGGAATCATGAAATCATCGTTTTGGCTTTTTAGTTTCTGTTTTATTCAAGGAACTGTTTTGATTCTATAATAGTTTTGACGAATGCTGATTTGGTAGTCAACGTGTTAACCCCTTGCCTTATGATTTCTTTTTGAACTGTGATCGCTCTAACTACTTTGTTATTAATAATTTGTTGAGAATAAGTGAACAATTCTAGGTATATTCTGTGCTAACATTTACTCTAAAGTATAATCATTGATAACGATGGAATAATATTTCATTTGAATTCAAACGAATTGAATAATATTTATGTTTGTTAAATTCTATTTAGAATCTTTACTAAAAGTTAATGTTTCAGATTTAAACATTTTACTGCTGTCGAACCTGTGATCAGATTTCTTGTGTTTTCAGAAAATCTTCGATCGTCCTTAACTGTAGCTATAAATAGAAGTGCATAATGAGGGGGCCAGTAGTTAGAAAATTTAGACATAGACATTGCTGTATGTGCTTCAATAGCAACCACGAGAAACGTGAAAGACGATAATCTGGAAAAGAGTATTGCGATGAAAACGATTAAGCAATATATGGAAAAAAGGAAAGTCCCTAATAAAGGTAGAATATCTATAATAGTACAAAATACTACACGATGAATTCCTAGTGAAATCTCTTACGAAGAACTTATTAAAATGTTTGATTCAGAACAGAAGAAGTATAGTGATTTAAAATTAGCAAAATCAGCTAAAGAGGACCCTCAAGAGGATCGGCGATCAGTAGCGAGAGCTGCTTGGAGGAATTCGGTGGCGTGCTCCCGGGTGTAAAGTTTCGAAGAGGCGAGCGAGCCGTCGCCGCCGCGGTTCGTGCCGTGTGATTTATCGTCAATTTTACACCCGATAAAAGTTTCCCGACAATTTCGCGTTCAATCGTCTCCGCGGAATCACCGATTACACGTAGTATTTTCGGGATCCCGTTATATATCATTCGGTTTATTGGCCGCGCGCGGATGCGTGCACGTTGCCTCTGCTTTCCATAATTCTCACATTTAGCCGCCTAATCGCGGCCTGGCCCGGTCGAAATACTCTATTGACGCAACTGCATGGAAAGTTTCCACAGGAAGCGTGAAGAGT